TGAATAACAGAGCTGAAGTTTTACCAATTAGCTGACAGTATCTCCTCGACAAGGCTAAGATTCAATGTTGACATGCCAGCTGGGACACAACAGCTACATCCAGTTGAAACTCAGCAGCCTAACTGAAGTACGTCCTACCCAGTCTAAAGAGACATTTTGAGTTGTAGCTATTAAGGACATAGACAGGACAACTTTAATTCTACTGTGTTAGTTTAAAATCAGGTCAATTATTTAGGTTTCTAAATGTGGACTCAGAAGCCTAAATTTAGCCACTTCCTGCAAATTTTGGCCCATGTAACTACTGTACACACCTTCATGCCCAACTTCAAGGACAAGGTGCAACTTCCAGAAATCAAGAGCTCATCTTCTCCAGAAATTTGTGTGCAGTCATTGCCACAAACAGCTTGTTCGTGGCTCATAGAAACTGAAGAGAAACAATTGTTGCCTTTAAAACATACTACTTCAAATTTATGTACATTCCAGAACAAGCCTGACATCCCAACTAATGACATGTCAAGACAGAGAGTAAAGAAAGATTCACAATCCAAAATGCAGGTTAAACGAGGACAAAAGGAGTGACAGGTAGTATCCATTAAACATCTGATGGTCACCTCAAAACTACACACCAGATCATTTGCACCTCACGTAAATTACTTTTACTCACTAAAACCACCTCAGAAGGTATGGAAAGTCTTAATAAAGCTAGGATATGTAATTGTTACCTAAAGACATTTTCTAATCTCATGGTATGGCTAAATTTTAATCCATACGACGTAGTGGTAACATCTTTATTCCAACTTTAAATGCATAGCCCATGTCTTTGCTAACACATATGGAGGAATTACAGTACATGCATTAACAAGTACCAGCAAAAGCAAGCACTACTAAGACAGCATTCATTATTTTTCATCTGTCTTGAGCTAGTTTTAACTCTTGGAAACACAAGAAAAGAAAGAATAAATATTTTATGAACTATGAAGAAATAACCTGTAAGAGCATAAGAACTAAATCAAGGCCAGAACTTAAAACCGATTAAAACTTTGAATTTCAGTAGAGAGGTCTTTTCTGGAAACTGGATACTGAAACACTATCCATGTTAGGAGAGAACAGATAAAATGATGGAGGCAAACCTCAAAAGCATGGGCAACAATTTAAAGACAAGGGAAAAAAACCTATTTCTGTTGATTATATTTAAGACCTATTTCTCACATGATCTGTGTTTGCAGTCCCCAAGGCAGTTCTACTTAGAATCATAGAATCATTTAGGTTGGAAAAGACCTTTAAGATCATTGAGTCCAACCATCAACCATGCCCACTAAACCATGTCCTGAAGTGCCTTGTCTATGTGCTTTTTGCATACCTCCAGGGATGGTGACTCAACCACTTCCCTGGGCAGCCTGTTCCAATACCTGACAATGCTTTCAGTAAAGAAATTTTTCCTAATATCCAGTCTAAACCTCCCCTGCTGCAACTTGAGGCCATTTCCTCTCATTCCATCTCTAGCCACCTGACAGAAGAGACCAGACCCACCTCACTACAACCTCCTTTCAGGTAGTTGTAGAGAGCGATAAGGTCTTCCCTCAGCCTCCTCTTCTCCAGGCTAAACAACCCCAGTTCCCTCAGCCGCTCCTCATAAGACTTGTGCTCTAGACCCTTCACCAGCTTCGTTGCCCATCTTTGGACAGGCTCCAGCACCTCAATGTCTTTCCTGCAGTGAGGCGCCCAAAACTGAACACAGTACTCAAGGTGTGGCCTCACCAGTGCCAAATACAAGGGAACAATCACCTCCCTGCTCCTGCTGGCCACACTATTTCTGATACAGGCCAGGATGCCATTGGTCTTCTTGGCCACCTGGGCACACTGCTGGCTCATATTCAGCCGGCTGTTGACCAACACCCCAGGTCCTTTTCTGCTGGGCAGCTTTCCAGCCACTCTTCCGCAAGCCTGTAGCGCTGCATGGGGTTGTTGCAACCCAAGTGCAGGACCTGGCACCGAGCCTTGTTGAACCTCATACAATTGGCCTCGGCCCATTGATCCAGCCTGTCCAGTTCCCTCTGCAGAGCCTTCCTACCCTCCAGCAGATCAACCCTCCCTCCCAACTTGGTGTCATCTGCAAACTTACTGAGGGTGCACTCAATTCCCTCATCCAGATCATTGATAAAGATATTAAACAGAACCAGCCCCAATACTGAGCCTTGGGGAACACCACTTGTGACTGGCCACCAACCGGATTTAACTCCATTCACCACAACCCTTTGGGCTTGTCCGTCCAGCCAGTTTTTTACCCAGCAAAGAGTACACTTGTCTAAGCCATGAGCCGCCAGCTTCTCAAGGAGTATGCCATGAGAGACAGTGTCAAAGGCCCTTCTGAAGTCCAGGTAGACTTAGAGACAGAAAAATAAATAGATAAGTAAAGACTGTGATTTTGATTTTAATATAGGTTGATGAGATTGAAGATAATTCACTACAGAAGAAGCTGCTGCTGACCATGAAGACTCTCTGCAACTCCATGTTTTTTGGCCACCCAAAGCTCTCCCTACAAAGATCTACATTGCTACCTATACAGAAGACTTTTCAGTGCTTGTGTAAGACATCAAGGATCCTGCAGGATACGTTTACACTGAGACTTTCTGGTAGTCAGAGCTTCAGATAACAATACTATTGGTCCAAGCCTGCTACTGCAAACCATTTTCACTCTGGAGAATCCTACCTGTGAAAGACCCATCACTTATTCGATATCATAACTGTGTGCTCTTTGGTTTGCTCTGAAAGAAATAAATACTTTAACACTGTGAGCTAGAATCTGTAATTCAGTAGATGCCAGTGGAAGTCATGTAAAGTTTTACCATGAAATATATTCTACTTTTTTTGCAGACTAGAAAAATAAACCAGAAGTAAATAAATCCACCTGGTAGAAGAGCTCCTCCCTCCTACTGGATGAGGCAGTGGAATGCCACCAGCCATAACTACCTAATACTTCCTATTTTCAGTTGCTTATTCAGCAGAATAGGCTATCTGTATTGGCTTCCTGCTACAGTTGTTTTTTGGTGGTTGGTTGTTTTGGTTTTTGTTTGTTGGTTGGTTTTTTTTTTACACTTATGAAACAACAGCTTACCTGTTTCAAAAGGAGTGTTTAAGAAAAATGTTAAGTTTTTCCACACTAAAATGAATCTTTCAGTAATATTAATTGCCACATCTACACATAACAATTTGACTAAGATCAAACTTATCAGGCACACCTTTCACTATACCAGTATAAACAAACAGCTTGCCCAAATTCAGTCTCTAAAATATTACAATGTGCATATGTACAATAGAGGTACAAAGGAAAATAAAGAGCTTCCTTAAAATGCATAAGGATAGAGTCCATATACAAGCCTTGTTTTACCCGAGAAGGATTTTAGATCATTAGAGTAAAAGGACATTCAGGTTGCAAAAAGCAAATTATCAAAACTCTTTAGAAATGTCAGAATGAAACAGGCCCTGGCAACTGAACATGACCCCCTTCCTCGTGGGTGTGAAACCCTGGCTTGGATCATCTCCCTGACGCCCCTTCCACCTCATTTCTCTATCATTCAGCACAACAGATTGTGCTTCAAAACCAAGTCAGGTCAGCACAGAGAAGAAAGCTCTCTGTCTGTAAGACCCTGACCTGTTTGTAGCAGAAGCCAGAAACTATGTAGCTGAAGAGGCCCTCACAGTTATAGCTGTTACAGTCCTCTCCTCCAGATGGTATTTATTTAGGAATTCTTCTGCAATAGCATGCAAGTTACTGGAACTAAGTATTTCACAAGTTATACTTCTCCAGCTGTTCAATCTATAGCTTTCAAAGGTAGAAGTCATTCAAATTTACTACTGAATATAACACTAGTTGTGAACACTGTTGAATAAAAGCACTAAAAAAAAATTAAAGATATGATATTTCAAATTTCATGTTGAACATCCAGAAAGTACTAACACCGAATAATTTTTTGCTTTATCTACTCTATCACAGCATCATTTTATGGAGCACCACCTTGCCTCATACAGAGGTTTGTTATTGCATAGGTTCAGCACAAATAAAATACTAAAATACATGAGCAATTCTTTTCCTTGAGAGGGTTAAATGTTTTTACTAACTAAAGCAGGCACTTATAAAACAGGTCAAAATTAAAAAGCGTATTCACTAAGCATCCATTCACTGAGCACTATCATCAAAGCACTGAAAGGTAGGGGACCTGTAGTAAAAACCAGATGACTATGCAATTAAAGACTGCAATCATGCATGCACATGCATTGCTAGCTCATACCAATATACAAGTGCTTGACTCTTCAGCTGTAACACTGTGTCATTTTCTAAGTGATTTAAAATATAACTGCACACATCCCCTCACTAATCAATGTTCTGGCACCCAGAGACCAGGGTACAGCAAAGATCTATGTAGCAATGTATCAAAAAAATCACAGCAAATGAAACAGGGCCCCATGTAACCTAATCTAAGGCCCTGCTTTCAACACAAGGTTGGACCAGATGATTTCCAGAGACTCCTTCCAACGCAGACTTTTCTACGATTCTAAACCCAACCATATTCATGGTCCTGATACTGCTTCTCCAACACATCACTTTGCCCTGACTTCTTAAGATAAGAAAAAAATGCAGGCTAGTTTCAAGCTGATAGATTTCTCATAACGAATAAGAAACTTGAGCAGAAGATTTAATCTGTACTGCACCACGTATTCTGTTTAAGCTGTTGGGAAGAGACACAGCATCTCCGGGAAGCATTCTAAGCTCCAGCCGGCGCCGCACTTCGCCGCGAAGCCGAGGAGCCCGCAGGCCGTCGCTGCCGATGGATGCGCCCGCAGGGCTGCACTCCCGAGCCTAGACCCCCGGCGGGCCCAGCGCCGCCGCAGCAGCCAGCCACCCCCTCCGCGGGGTCAGGGAGCGCAGGCCCGGCCAGG